CCTTCGGAATCTGCATGGGCCGATAGCCCTCTATACCCTGACCTTCATGGGTTTAGTTCCGTAGTTAGGAGCACAATGCATCTCCCGCAAAAAGGACGCGGCAGTTTATTGCCGCCAGTGCGCCTTCTACATATCTTCTACTGTATATCTAAAATTGTAACCAACTCTTGATGGTTAAATTCTTAATGCATGAATCCTAGACCGTATAATGAGATCATATAGAAAAGCCGGTTTACGCCTTTTACACCTTTTTTAAAGCCTATGCTATATGTTGGGGCTAATACCTAAGGCAAAATATCTATAAAACAGGACTTCTGAAAAGACCCTGAAAGAAATACCAAAAAAGGACATAACAAGGTCGTATAAGCGGCAGACTATTCTTGTTCTTAATATTAACTCCCAAGGGATACGTGGAAGGTTTGTGGAGGTGAACTGCTATTGGACTGAGAGACATATGTGAAAGCTGCAAGGTCTGAATTTGACGAAATGGTTGAATAATATCTTGAGTTAGGTGAGGAGCAGATGATGGGGGGAGGGTGTAAGCGTGAAAGTCTAGGGGAAGGTAAAGATGATATCTCATTCTGACTAGCTGTGCCCTATCTTAAGGGGCCGACAGCTGACCCGGTCACAGAGGGGGCGGCATCGGGATCGAAAGAGATATTATAGATATTATGATATGTAGCATCCCAGTTTAGCTTGTACAAACTCGATGAGGTTTGGGCTTGGGAGGCCTGGTGACACAATCAAGTGTTCATTTCTTCAGAGCAGGCTGTCTAATAGGCAAAGATCGTAATTGAATGTTGAGTCACAGTAGCGGAAAGGACCACTGCCGTGCATATCCACTCCCAACAGCCTGAGATGCAAGTTGGCGGAGAATATGAAGTATGTTGGCTGCATTGTTGCGATTTTGGGCTTGGGCGTTCGCACTACCTGAGACTCCTTTCACTCCAAATGGGAATTAGGAAAGCTGTTCAAAGTAGTGCAGTGAATAGGCGTAGCGATGGCTCCCAGGTTTTAGAGGGCTGTTTTGTAAACTGCTGGGCTGCCTCTTGAGATCAAACCGGGAGTAGTCAGCTATGTTGGAACAATGAGAAAAAGAGGAAGGTAGAATGAAGATCAATATGAAAGAAGCAAAAGGAAAGGGAAAGACAGAATTCAAATAAAAAGAAAACTACAAGTTAGAGAAAGACGTGGTTAGAGAAAAGATATATAAGATCGAGTATAAAGAAACAGTCAAGTAAAATACGAGGGAGACTTTCATAGCCAGGAAGGTCACCGATATTCAACTCAGTTCAGTTATGCTTTGACTCGTAGGGAGAGCAATCATGCATTGAACCTAGCTGCTTGGCGAGAAAGGGTAATATCAACGAGAGAAGTTAGAGCTATCAACAAATATGTGTATATAGATCTTGATGAATTTCTCTCCAACAAGGACATGTATGATATCATGCTGATTCTATACCATATAGGGCAGATATATTCGTAGTGAGTGAAGCTGGACAAAAATATATAGAACTATGAGGCTTTCTATTGAAGTATTGAAGGTATACCAAGTAATATCCTTGAAGCTATAAAGTCTCCATAAAGTGGGGAAACATCTCGATACCTTGGAAACTCCCGAGGTCGGCTAGTGGCGGTTATTTTAGACCTCCAATTTTCACCGGATGACTCAAAAGGAGCTAGATTCCCCCTCAAACTTGGAATGTTTCCTTATATCAACATATCTTGATACATCTCTTGTATCCATATATCCCTGTTCACCCGTTCCACCATGGCCGTCGGACCCTTCTCCCAAGATGAGCTGGATGAGATCTACGCATTTGCAATAGACCTGGGCCGTAAGGCAGGCAAGCTGCTTATGGAGCGTGTCGACCAGCGTATCTCAGGCGCCAATGGCTCATCTAACACCTTTGAGGAGAAGGAAAACGCAGTAGACATTGTGACGCAGACGGACGAAGGTAAGGCGGTGCAGCTGATCAGGCATATCAGAAATAGTCACTAACAGTTCTACTTGGCAGACGTCGAAGTATTCATCAGGAGCGCTCTCGAGGCCAGATATCCGTCTCATAAGTAAGTTTTTTCTCTGCCAAAATCCACCGACGACGAAACTAATAGACCACGAGATTCCTCGGCGAGGAGGCATATGCCAAAGGCCAGTCACGCGACTACCTCATTGACGAGCAACCAACATGGTGCATTGATCCATTAGATGGTAAATCAGGACTTCCAGTACCATGAACAGTCGGATTGTTCACGGGTTCAAACCGACATCGCAAGACACTCGACTAATAATTCCACCCACAGGAACCGTAAACTACACGCACATTTTCCCCATGTTCTGTGTCTCAATCGGGTTCATCGTGGAACACAAGCCAATAATTGGTGTAGTCTATGCTCCATTTACAGATCAGCTCTGGTCCTCCTGCAGCGGGCGCGGGGCCTGGCTGAACGAGACTCGCCGCCTTCCGCTCATCCACAACCCAACCCCACCTATGCCCGCCAATGCCCCTTCCCAGTGTATCTTTTCTTGCGAATGGGGTAAAGACCGTCGCGATATTCCAGATGGAAATATGCAACGCAAGATTGAGAGTTTTGTTAATATGGCTGCGGAGGTGGGTAGTCGCAATGGGAAAGGTGGTATGGTGCATGGTATGCGCAGTTTGGGTAGTGCAACGCTCGATCTCGTGTATGTCGCTATGGGGTCTTTTGATATTTGGTGGGAGGGAGGTTGTTGGGAGTGGTGAGTTTTGCTTTTTTTTTTATCCCTTGGAGAGTCAATAGGCTGGTGCTAACTATTATAGGGATATCGCTGCTGGTGCCGCTATTCTTCTAGAGGCGGGTGGACTTATGACTACTGCTAATCCCCCAGAGGATGTGGATACGGGACCAATCGAGGATGTCCGACTCGGCAGCAGATTATATTTGGCTATTAGGTGAGTCTAAGTTGTTTCCCTTGTGTTGGATCTTGCTAATAACTCTCCAGACCCGCCGGCCCATCTGCCACTGAAACAGGCCGTGAGACACAGGAACGGACAGTACGCGAAGTCTGGCGCCGAGTCCGTACCCTGGAATACTCACGCCCTGGGGCTTGAATAGCTTATACTGTAACGTTGGATGAGGTGTACTTATTTACATATTGACATTTTGGTAGATCTAGAGTGACTTGTATTTCAAAATCAGAGACACCATTCACTTATATATAGACAATGCAAATCGCGACTACTTTGCGCTCTATACAATGATTAAAAAATCATAACATGATCGTAAAAGAAAATCACAGGCTAGACTTCGCAGATGCCCGCTCCGCAATGGTCTTAGCAACAAGGTCCTTAACCTCCTGCACAAGGCCAGGGGTACCGATGATATCCTTCCCAGTCCAAAGACGGGCCTGCTCAAGACCCTGCCAGATCAGAGCCTCAGAGCCGAGGATGACCTTCCACCCACCGGCAGAAGCCAGGTGAGCAATCTCAGTCCAGGGTGTGGGGTGGTAGCACATCTCCAAGATGACACCCTCCTGCTTGTCCGCATCGGCAGCAGTACCCAAGAAAGCCTGGATGATAGCGCGAGAGCGCAGCTCCTCAGGAGACTTCGGGGGGTAGTTGGGGATACCAGAGACGATAGCCGCGGGGGATTCGAGACGGGCAGCCTCGGCAGGGTCGGTGACAGGGATAAGAGGAGCCTGGGCATTGTAGTTAGGGTTGCGGCGACGGTCTTCCTCGAGAATAGCGGCGACCTCAGCGGCGTCGCGGTTGACGATGTAGATACGGCTGGAACCCAGCCAGCGGCGCATAACATAAATGGCAGTGCGGGCAGTGCCACCGCCGCCGATGATGAGGGCGGGTCGGCCGCGGAAGCGTGATGGATCAGGTGCGTTTTGTGTGAGGGCTTCCCGGATACCGTCGCAGTCGGTGTTGGTGCCGACGTACTGGCGCTGGCCGGTTGTTGGGTCGTCGCGCATGAAGATAGTGTTGCAGGCACCGGCTTGGCGGGCGTGCTCGGTAAGATCGTCTAGGTATGGCATGATTGCGACCTTGTGAGGCATTGTCACGGACGAGCCGACGAACTTAGGATTGGACTTGATTGATGCCAGATATTTCTCAATTGGCGGCGACCGTGTGTAGGGGGGAGGGTATGTCTCTGATGGACCAGACACGCTGGATAGTGGGATTTGGGTCCAGTTGAGACCGAGGGCATTGTAGACTGTCTGGTGCAGAGGTGGGGAGAGAGAGTTCAGAAGAGGGTGGCCGTACAGATAGGCGACGCCATCGCGGTCGGAGGGGATGGTGATGGGCTCTTCTGGTGGCGTTTGGTTGATTTCTGTGACAGACATGATGAATTGTGTATATTGATTTCCTTGGATATGCAGATCTCAGAGAGGGAGGGCCTGCAATGTTATAAGATGAAATTCGAAATTCAGACGGAAAATACTTAGCCTCACAATACGTGCGAGGTTCCATGGGATATTCCCTCTGCCGGGCGGGGCTTTCCTGTTTCAAAGCATAGCTGCCGCCGCTTTTATGAAAGCGAGGCCAATGTACATTTTAGTCCGGGGAAAGGTTGAACCGATGCAAAGCAGCTATTTTGGGCTGCATTCCAAGTTTGATGATAATAAATTATAGCAAAGGAAATAAGTTATAATAATTGACCATCGTAGGCTGAAGCAGCAGAATGAAGCAAAGGGACATTATACACCGTCAATTTGCGGCTGTCCGCATGTTGACCGCTAGGCAAATTAAGCCATCGCTAAGACCAATTGCTTCAAGTCAGATCTTGAATTTGACGAAGAAACAAATTAACAGCTTCCTTAAGTTTCACCCATTGTCATCGACTTGTTACTTGCCATTTTTTGACTGTAAATCCATATATAACGGACCCTGACTACATTCCCCCGTCTGACCTAAATGTGGACTGGTCGCTTTACGGCCGCTATTCTCCAAAACTTATGTCAACTCTCAGTTAACACTCATTACAATACTGGGCTTCTATACTTGATCTTTGCAATGAATCGGCGAGGATCTACCCAGGTGGAGCGTAGTCGCGATGTGTTTGCCGTCGGCAGTATCATCATTAAGTCGAGCCATCTCCATAAGCAAAAGAGTGCAGAGTATACGGAGACAGGCTACACGTATGCCGATGCAAATGAAGTAGAAGCTATTGCTATTGCGAAGAATGTCCTAAAATATATCAAAGTGCCCGACATTTACTTTAACGGCGAGGTACTTTTTCTCGTCTCATTGCTTAGTATTTTGCTTATCGCTTACATCCCATTAGATCAATGGCCGTCAGGTATCTGTCCAGGAAAGGCTTCCAGGTGTGGCCTTGACCGTTGCATGGCCGTATCTTTCGCAAAGCCAAAAGAAGTCTTTCAAACAGCAAGCACAAGCGGTACTTCGACAGCTACAATCCATCAAGCCACCGATAGAGGCCAGCTCCGCTCCCACGTGGTGCCTGATCCCGGCATTCTCAGTAGTGGCCATATCCAACCCCTAGAAGCTGATATTCTCTTCTCGGGCATCAATACCGACCCAGATATGAGCTTCATGCATAACGACTTTACCAAGTCCAACTGCATAGTTGACAATGACCAGATCGTGGGGCTCATTGACTGGGAAATGGCTAGCTTTTTTTGGCTGGAACACAGCTAGAGAAGTTCATTGTACTCCGTACGGCTAGACCGCATGATAGTTCAATTTGGAAAGATCTTTATGAGTAAAATGCCCCACCTATTGAGAAAAGTTTGACGTGTATTTCGGGCTACGGTGATAATAATGAAAGCTAGGCGGAGAAATATTTTATCAATAGAAGGCATGTGTGTATCTGAAGGTCTGGTTGAATCAGCTGGTTGGGGGGGGGGGGGGGGNTTTTTTTTA